ACTCTGAAAAATGCTTTGAGTCACTAAATATTGATGGTATGAAGGCAATATTGTGAGGGCACATGTCAACAGGGAGTATTTACTTCCTGCTGACAATTTCGAAAAATAGCATTCGCTTAGCTAAGCTCTACCGTATTGACACTTTATTGTAATGAGCGCAACACAGTCACGTTTATTTGCGGTCTAATGTTTGCGCAAAAAGTCCGGGTTACTAATAAGATTTGCATTTACATGAAACCAGCAACACACCTTTAATTACTTTTCAGCTTTTTGTAGTAAAACACAAATTTCCATCGTTGGAGTTCGCTGCCATGCCCACTGCCTGCCCATGGTGGCATACGCAACGGTGCAGAGTTGGCATGCCGTGGCAGGGCTAGGCTTCGTCTATTGCAGTTGCTGTCCCATTAATATTGCGCCAACACATTGGTGGCGACACCTAAACAAACAGCAGACTACAAATCATCGAATGCGAATGACATGCGGCACCGGGCCCGATGTCAGCACAAAAAAGGGAACGACAATGACATCTGCATTAGTAATTGCGGCAACAACGGTGTTGAAGTAGCAATGAAATTTTATGCGATACATTAATGCAACAACAACAACAACATTTGCAACTACAGCGTGTTAACAAACGGGAGCAGCCATGGCTTGGCATAATAATAAGCTTGGACATAAGGTGACCCTTTCGGGTCTCCATCCCAATTGCACGTGTCCATGGTGATGTTACAACAGGACCTGCTGGCATGTCCGTATTTAGTCGGCATATGAATTTAAATGTAGATATACACTGAATACATGACACGATAGCTTATGTGATATCAAAAGGCTTCGCTTAGAGTAGATTTAACTCGAGCTCGTAGTTAATTTAAACAAATATTTAAAATTAGTTTTAATAAAGATCGCTGGCTTATAACAACTCGGTCGAAGCAGTTGGTTAAAACTCATTGAGTGCGAAATTGGGTTCCGTTCCAGCCTATTTTAGTGAGTACATACCTGATTTGTACCGAATAACTGACACGCCTGATTACAGGGACGCCTTACATTACGCCAGAAGCAAAGAGGGAACAGAGCTCTGTGGAAATACCTGCGTGAAGCGTCTATGTTATCTCAGAGGATGGTTTTATTTGCTCGCATTACGCAGTAATTAAAAAGTTACCAATTTCGGAAATGCTGCATGCATTTGCACAATCCCGCGGCTCGCCCAAATCCCGAAAACCAAAAACCAAACCGCAGATTATAGCTGTCGTGCGAATGTAAAAAGCCTCCGCAAATACCGTCGATTCGTTGGATTGTTAGCAGCTTTTAAATAGTGCAATGCTGACGACGGCAGTGTTAGTGTCATTGGACCGCCCACTGCAGCGTCAACTATTGAACCGACAAGCGACATCGAACACCGGTCAATGTAATGCCAATCCATCAATGCATGCACACACACACGCGCACAATATGTTAAGGACATATTACAGATGCGGGCAAAAACAAAAACAAAGGAAAAATTGTGGACAATAGGGTGACTTTTGGAGTCTCTAGCGGTTGCTGTGAAACCAGGCTTTCGTGAGGCCCATCTTAATGACATTTACTTTCATTACACCTGGACTATACAGAGACTCCTACTGATGTGGGGATTGATAAGCTCTTGGTACAGATTTTTGGACAAAAATGGAATTTTTGGACTATTTGATGCCTAAGATTAGAGCTCGTGATCTCGGCGATATCTAGTTTCAACAAAACGGTGCAATTTCTCACATATCGCATCAGTCAATGGATTTGTGGAGAGAACACTTCGTTGAGTGGATAATTTTACGATTTTTCCTGGTCGATTGGCTACTAAGATCGTGTGATATCACATAGCTAGACTACCCGGGAATATGTAAAGTCTAAAGTTTATGCGGACAATCCCGCTTCGATTCATCAGGTCTTGGAGCTAGACATAACGCGTTTCATTCACCAGTCGAAATGTTATAATGAGCAATCGAAAATTGGACTCAACGGATGAACCATCTGAGATGTAGACGTGGCCAGCTTGTGAGATAGGTAATGTTCAAAAAATAATTCAAAGAATGTTCTTTCGAGTGATAATAACATTCTTCATTAAATTCGAAATTTCTGTACATTTGCTTTAAAAACGTGGAGAATCTCGAAACGTATAACCCTTTACATCCGAGCGAGTTTGCTGCAATGAACATAAACAGTATACATTTTATTGCTTTCAAGGTGTGCGGACTGCTCCCACAAAAACAGAAGCAAAGTGAATTCAATAAACTTTCTAATGCCCAGCCTCAACCTCCCAGCCTTGCAACAAGTAAGGCTACAACAAATAAGGGTTGCAGAGAGGAGGAGTGGAGGGTGTTGATTTTCCCATTGTCATGTCCGGCTGAAAACGTTGCTTGCCGCACGTTGATGGCTCCATTATTAATGCAAATACGTTGCAACACACTGCCAGGTTGGTTTGTAGTGTTTGTCAATACCTACGGTTTGATGACAACACCAGTCGAATGAGTTTTATTATCGAAATTCATACCTTCATTGGAGTTACCAACATTGCAGCGTCGGATTTATACAACTTCCTTTCAAATATTTGTTTTTTTTTTAATGAAATTTTCATATCTCTTAGCTATAATTTCCTACCGAGTGAACGGTTTTGGCTAGTCTGGTTCGATGCATAACTCGCCTATCTACTCTATGCCAGTAAAGAAGAAGAAGAAGTTCGATGACTACATCGGGTCATGAAGCACCGATTATTTATTGAGGTCTCTTTAGCGCCTGCTGTGACCTTAAGGCCTTCTCCACTTAGCAGCATATCGGCGTAGGGATGCAATAAGCCCATCTTACATACCCATCAACTGCAGTTAACCTTTGTTGTTGCGGTTGCATAAAACCAGAAACGGTAAACCAAACACTTTTGTACGCTTTTGAGACAAATAGTATTTATTTATATAATTTTTTTATAATAATTTATTTATGAATGCTTAATTACCTCTTCATTATACATGTGTTTGTTTATTTGCTTATTTAATTTATTTATTAATTTTTTATTTTTTTCCTTTGCTTTTTCGTTTTTGTTTTTGTTCAAGTTCAATAAACGCACTCAGGTCAGTACTAAAGTCAAACAGTAATCGGCATTTGCAGTTGCATTACTTATTTACCTCCCTTGTGTATGTACATAAAATACATTGATGCTTGTCATATGTGTAAGTGTATGTGTGTATATGTATTTTCAGCTTATGTGTAACTGCCTAAATGTATGTATATACTTTGTTTTATTTGCGTTTTTAATATTTACATTTGCTTTTTGTCTTCAGCTATTGTTGTGAAAATTGCGCATGATGAAATGATTATGCAAATACAAATACAAATACCTATACATATATGAATGACTCTTTACACCTATTTTGATAGTAATTGAAAGTGATGAAACAGAAGTGTTGTTGTTATTGATGTTGTTGTTTTATGCTATTTCTATTAATTACATACAGTACTATTTACAAAGGTGTTTTTTTTGGTTTTGCTTTATTGCATATTTGAAATGTATTTTTTTTTATGAAATAGATTTAGGTCGTTTGGTTTATACATACATACTATACATGTGTATACAATACATAACGCATGCAAAACATTTATATATCTATAATATGTACATACATTATTTATATATATTTATTTATATATATATGCTATTTATGTATATGCGTATAGTCACACAACTAGACACTTATGAACATATCTATGGAGAATTGCCTCAGTATCATTTCATACAATACTTATAACGGTAATCGGCGCTCGCTATTACAATGGCGAAATATTTTCCTATTTACTTGTTTCTATTATAATTAAATATAAGCTTTCCTCTAGTAACTAGCCTATTGGTATCACTAATTCGATTTCGTTCAAAACGCTCATTTCTAGCAAATCAACACGCTCTCAGTAGTCGTAGAGCAAGCTGCCCTCCGCGTGGTCATTCACACATACACGCAAATGTTAGGCCCTGACTTAGCTGGGTATACACGTATGTAACTGTACCTTTGTAAGCAAACGGTTTGTATTGAATACAACACACAGTTAAGTAATTGAAGCCTTACTAGGACTGTCAGTCAGCTGTATTACATTCGTAACGGTGCATTATGATCTGTACAAGTTTCTAAAAACAAAAATTGTCAATGGGTCCACGAAAAAGGTAGTCATAAAAGCACTGTCTTGGCTGGATGCTGTTGTAACGGAAAAATATTTACATTTTATAATTCAGCACGCGTAGTATTTGTCCGGAAAGTATTAGGACTGATTTTTTTCCACCGCGACTGTATTTCGGAGTGCGCGCACCGGTTGGATTCGGTAAAGGGCGTTCCTAGCTAACGAACGAATGGCTGATCAGTGGTCTCCGGGCACCTGGAGAGTCAGGACAAACATTTTGCGCGACGTGTTTCTGTGATTGTTGCAAGACGAAAGTGCAGCGTTCGTTAGAGCAGAGGTACGCGCTTAAATTCTGTGTGAAACTCGGTAAATCTGCGACAGAGATGTTTAAAAACATCAAGCAGGCTTACCCAGATGGCTTTATGGAGGACCGGGAAGAGGTCGCAAGAATGAGCAAATCTGAAGTGGAAACGATGCCCATTGTCTTCTTTAACATCAAAGGCATCGTCCATCATGCATTTGTTTTTTTCTGGATAAACCGTCAAAGCCAAGTTTTACGTGGAAGTCCTCAAAGGACTCAAATGAAGGGTCAATCGGGTCCGTGAAGACTTCGCAGCCGATTTCAAGTTGCATCATGACAACGCCCCGTGTCACACCGCCATCCTTGTGAACTGCTACCTTAACAAGGCCGGCATCGCAACGCATCCGCAGGCACTCTACGGCCCAGATGTAGCATCCTAGGCCTGAAAGGAACGAAGAAAGGCAAGCATTTTGAGACGACAGATAGAATCCACGCAGCATGCACCTCGGCTCTCAAGGCTGTTCCGGCGAATGCTTGGAAATCGCGCTGACAGGGCTACATCGACGCAGAAGGAGCCTGTTTCGAAAGTGTTTAAAGAATTGTAACGATTGGTTTAAATAAACTTTTTAAAATTGACTCAGTCCTATTAGTTTCTGGACAAACTCTGTACTTTTTGCCGAAGGTTTATTATGCCCACATCAGTTTTTGAGCCAAATTATTAAACACATCGAAATGTGTTCGAAACTCTGGCATCAAGTATGCGTAATAAGTAAAGCCTCAGAAAAGTCTAAATGATCTTTGCTTGAAAATTGTACCCCTACAAAACATGACAAATTTAGGTGACTCAGCTTTCTTCGGTATGTTTGGTACTTCATGCACTAAGAAGCTCTCACATTATACCAATTATGACCACACATTCATCCAACTGCCGCACACGCTCTGCTTGAATATTATTTGTTGCAAAAATAAACACTAAATTACGATAAAAAAGCTAAGCTAAGCAATATCGGGCGTTACTAATGTGAAGCGGGACTCTGGACGCTCCAACGCCGGTGTGTTTGTTGCTGTCTAAATTGGTTGAAGCACGAGGCGCCGTCCAGCATTTCAGTGGGTGCGTTTGTGTTAAGCAGTTTGTTGGGTATGTTGGCGGTGGTGGTGGTGCACAGGGCGCCTGGTGGTATGCGAAACCCACAGATTTGAGGCCTTACGCAGCTCATTATGAAGCATAATATACAAAGAAGTTGCCGCTCCAGACGTAGCGACCTGTAATTGACGGTGCGGCGTTGTGGCAATCGCTGTTGCACAGTTGAAATTGAAATTATTGCATGACGGCCATTGTTATTGTCAGTAGCATTTTCTTGCGCCACGTCATGCCACAGTTGCCACAGTGTTGCATTGTTATCAGCCGCATTGGTTCTCATATCGCTGCTTGCCACAACGGCAATATTAAACCGACAGCAGCAAGCGTCGTTGCAGTAGAGTGTTGCTGGCCGTTGTAATGGCACCCTACCGTGGCCCGCCCGCAGCAGCATGCTACCAGTCCTTAGCTGCAACATTGTCCGTTGCATGTAAAAATTTTCCATTTTATTTGCAGCCATTTTCGCACTCTGTTGGCCTTCCTTTGGCGGCGGTGGTGGTGCGGTGCTCGTGGCTCGGTAGTTGCGCTCCAACGCATATTGCAGCATCAACAATATCCCGAGCAGCAGAGCAAATGCTGCCATTCTCCCGTTTAATAACATCGCTGATATTGCGGTCCGGTATTTGGAAGCTGTAGTCATGGCCAGCGCCAACGCGGCGAATTCAATTTGTCGCTTTTTCTTTTCGACAAAAGGCTGCTGCTGTAGGTGCTGTTGTAGCTGCTGTTGCACTCTCATGCGTGCAATGAGTTTCGGCAGTAGCGCCGCAGCCTGGCGACAACAGGATGCCAGCAATGCGCTCATCAGCACTAAAACGGGGCAGGCGCCGGCGAGCGCCGTGTGCGCAGCGGGAGCGTGCGAACGCAGCGCGCTCTGCTCCTTCTCTAGGCATTGGCGGAACTCTTTGTAGTCCACACGCGTTATGGCGCAGTAGTGGTTCAGCATGCAGACACCCTCGCAGGAATCCGACTGATAGCGCACGGTGTTGGCGCGGGAATATCTGGCGGGCGAAAAAGAAGAAAAGAGAGTAGATGTAAGTGTGCGATATTTTTTGTGGGCCAAAAATAAAATTGTTTACTTATTTTAAAGTGTAATATGAAAAAGTAAGGAAGGACTAAGCCCGGGTCTAGCCGAACATTTCATACTTTTGCAACTTGCAGTAATCAAAGTCAGGGAAATAACTTAAGGTGTAAAACGTTAACCAGAGGATCGGAATCTAAAAAGTCGTTTCGTATTTTGTCAATATATGCCGTTGCAGTCGTGTATCTGCAGTGCTACCAATCACATTGTGTTACCTTTTGATATTGAAAAGGTTAGATTTTAAGCTTCATTTAGTATTATTTTCATAAGAAAGGAAAGATTGCCACGCGAGCCACCAATGAAATTTGTGAAGTTTACAGCACAACAATGGTTTCGCTTTCATTGTGCAAAATTTCGATGTGAAAGATGCACTTCGCTCTGGAAGACCTAAAAATTATAGAAAAGATGGACCAGGACCATCACATAAGTACCCATGATATCGCTAAGGAACTTAAAATTCATCATTAAACGTTTAAAACATTTAAAAAATTCTTGCTAAAAACAGAAGCTCGATGTTTGGGTACGACATGAATAGTCTGTGAAGAATTTAATGGACCCAATTGACATCTGCGATTCTTTGCTGAAACGAAATGATATCGAACCATTTCTAAAGCGATTGGCAAGAGGAGACGAAAAGTGGATTAAATAGCACAAGAATGTGCGAAAAAGATCATGGTCCAAGCTTGGTGTAGCTCAACAAATGGTCGAACAGCCAGGATTCACGCCTCGAACGGTTATGCGAGGTATTTGGTGGGATTGGAAACGAATCATCCACAACGACCAGCAGAAAGGGCTTCGTCTTAGATCAGGACAAAGCTAGACCACACACATCTTTGATGACTGGGCAAAAACTGACAGAGCTTGGCTGGAAAATTTTGATAGCCCTGATAGTCAATCCAGAAATCTCTTAATGGTGGAAAGTTGGCTTCAAGAAAAGAATGTGAAAATTACCTAACGCACTTTTCCGCCGAGAAACCAGAAAAGTTGTTCACTGATGGAATAATGTCTTTAGCGTAAAAATAGCAAAAAGCGGTCGACCAAAAGGATATCTATCTGGTTAATTAAAGTCCATATTAAAAAAAAAAAAAAAAAAAAAAAAAAAAAAAAAAAAAAAAAAAAAAAAAAAAAAAAAAAAAAATAAAAAATAAAAAAAATAAGAAATGTGATAGGAAATACGAAAAAACTGATGCGACTACCCAATATAAAACCCTATATCTGATACGTAAGTGAACAAATCGATAATACTCTGTAGCAACATGTTGCAAGAGTATAAAAATGACAGAGAACAGACAGTTAAAGTGTAATTTACTTTGTTTCGTAAATTAAATTAATTTTGATTTCGAAAATGGGTAACTCTGGGGTTACTCATCTTTTTTTATTTATCATTTAGATGAAATATAATACAAATTTGAGAATAATTGAAAAAAAAAGAAGAAAAAAAAAAAGTTGACTGTCATGCATTACTGTAGTCCGAATAGTTTCATCGAACTATTATGAGCGGAAGAAAATAATCGTAAAAGATCTTGTGTACCATAGACAGCTATTATAATAAATATTTTTCCTCACTTTGCAAAGAAAATTTAAAAATATTACTTAACAAATATTTCTACGAACAACCTCTACACAGGGCTCTGCTAGAGACCGTCGAAGACGGATTTTATTTGTTTAGACAAGTTAAAAAATATTTACTCATACTTATACTATGGGAGTTTAGCTTGTGGCCACAGGGCATAATCCAACGTCGACGAAGAGCTCGGCAAATATGTGACCAGCTTTCCACCCAACCGTGCACTGGAATCATATGCCGAAAGGCATGCTCCCACTCACTCACTCAGCGCCATCTTCAATGTGTGTTTGTGTGTGTGGCGGTAGCGCTTCGTAGTGATAAGAAATCAACATACAAATATAATATGCATAAATTTGCATAAAAACAATCAAGACAATCAACAATGAACCCAACAACAGCAATGCAAAGGCAAATAAACAAACAAGTCTATCAACATTTTGCAACATCCACAGGTACTCACACACATGTACACACACACGTATGGGTAAACAAAAGTGTCCATTCCGCCTCACATGCTATGCATGGATGGCGCGTGCAACGGTGTGAGTGCACTTTGCAGCGGCAGGGAGGGGCGAAACGTCAACGACATGTCGAGCCGAGGAGCCACTGAAAATCTACGTTAATGGCGCTATGGTCGCTTAGTTGCTTTGCAGCAACAATGCCACATCGTCAATCGCTCGCCAAAGGCGAAACAACAATCACACCGCGAAGTGCACGAGTGGAAGGGCGAGCGGTGATGCCGTTACAGCGGATGACAGGCATGCAACGCATAAACACAGGCTGAGGTAAACGCAATTTTTTTGCTTTTGTTTTTTTCTTACAGTCAATTGGCTGTTTGTGTTCGCGTGTGCCCGCAACCCCCACAGTCCGTCGTCCCCGCACTTTCACCTGCTCGGGCGCATGGAAAATTGGTGCTTGGAAAATGTGCTCTTGTTATGCGCTATTACGATTGACTTGTTGTTGTTATGCCTGCAGCAAAATACATCAAAACAATACCTTTTTGTTAGATGTATACGAAAACAATAACAAACTGGCTTTTATACGAAACAAGCGAATGAGCAACCGAAGTCGAATTGATTGGACGGGTGGAATGACGATGGCAAAAGTTCTACAGTGGACAAACAATAACTGGAGAAATAAAGTGGATACGCGGTAGTAGATGCTGAAGTTGGACCGTAAGTAAATATGGCAGGAACTGTTCCGTTCAACAGTTACCGTAATCGGTATGGGAAGATTTGGTTTTCTTAGGTGGGCGGCGTATTTTCCATTTTGATATTCATGGCTACTTTGGAAGAAAGATGACAATTTGTGTGGCCTTGACAGCTATTAGTTTGCAAGTAATGTTTAGTTTCTCCGTTTTGGACAATGCAGCACAAAATTAAATGAGTGGCATAAGCTCTCGGAGATCGCCGAGTAGGCATAGTGAACCACATACGACATTAGAATTAACAAGTAAGGAAGGGCTAAGTTCGGGTGTAACCGAACATTTTATACTCTCGCATCAAATACCGTATTTGTGCAAAGTTTTATTCCGCTATCATCATTTTTTCCTAATGTATACATATATTACACAGAGAAGGGTTCAGATGGAATTCAAAATAGCGTTATATTGGAAGAAGGCGTGGTTGTGAACCGATTTCACCCAYATTTCGTACATGTCATCAGGGTGTTAAGAAAATATTATATACCGAATTTCATTGAAATCGGTTGAGTACTTCCTGAGATATGGTTTTTGGTCCATAAGTGGGCCACGCCCATTTTCAATTTTTAAAAAAAGCCTGGATGTAGCTTCCTTCCGCCATTTTTTCCGTAAAATTTAGTGTTTTTGACGTTTTTCGTTAGTCGGTTAACGAACTTTTAGTGATTTTCAACATAACCTTTGTATGGGAGGTGGGCGTGGTTATTATCCGCTTTCTTCCATTTTTGAGCTGTATATGAAAATGCCTGAAGGAAACGACTCTATAGAGTTTGGTTGACATAGCTGTAGCAGTTCCCGAGATATGTAAAAAAAAACTTAGTAGGGGGCGGGGCCACGCCCACTTTTCCAAAAATTTACGTCCAAATATGCCCCTCCCTAATGCGATCCTTTGTGCCAAATTATCTATGGCTTAGTTATGACACTTTATAGGTTTTCGGTTTTCGACATTTTGTGGGCGTGGCAAAGGGTCGATTTTGCCCATCTTCGAACAACCTTTTTATGGAGCCAAGAAATACGTGGACCAAGTTTCATCATGATATCTCAATTTTTACTCAATTTTTGCTCGGACGGACGGACAGACAGACATCCGGATTTCAACTCTACTCGTCACCCTGATCACTTTGGTATATATACCCCTATATCTGACTCTTTTAGTTTTAGGACAACCGTTATGTGAACAAAACTATAATACTCTCTTTAGCAACTTTGTTGCGAGAGTATAAAAATATGGGGAAAATGCTGTTGGATACTCGTAACAGTGGAACATGATATTTATCAACGGCTCTCAGTTCTTCATAAGGCTTAAGCTGATTCAGTTATTTTGGTTAGTGTCTCGAAAATGTGCCTAAGTTTGATGAATCGGCATTAGATTTTAAATTTGTAAAATTTTAAGAGAGGAATTGTATGATAAATTATTTTGAAAAGGCTTGTCGTATAAAAAAAAGTTGAAAACTTAAAAATTATATCTTATGTGAATAGAAAATTGAAGAGAATGCGAAGCTAAAGCTCCCCATTATTTTACTTACTTGCCAAACCAGGTGCCGTCGCCGCTGGTGAAGCGATCCACAAAATTGTGCAGCGAAACCGCCGATATATCACTGAGCGCGTAGTAATGGGTGAGGTTGTACTCCGGAAGCCAGTTGGGCTCGCCCACCTGATTCGCCAATTGCAAATCCATGAAGTACTGCGTGTAGTCCAGAACCTGTAATTATGCATGCAAGTCATGCAAAAAATAGGTTAGAAAATTGTGCTAAAAATAAAGTAGAAATGTGAAAGCCGCTTGGCAGGCTGGTTTTCTTTGGGCTTGGTCTGCTCAACTACAAAAACATTACATAGTTACATATGCGAGTGTACCATACATGTAGAGTCGTATCGAAAAGTGAAACGAAAGGCGAAATAAGTATGGGTTCGCTTGTACTTGGAAAATAACAAAAATATGGAAGTTATTCTGGTTTAAAACTGGCCGAACATTAAAACATTACTTTGAAAATATCAAACCAACTGCGTCAGCACCAAATTTCGAAGGATTCTCCTTTTGAACTGAACCAAAGCGCTCAGCAGCTATAAACAAACGAAGTAAATCAAATTTTGTTTGCAAGAGTTGCATTAGGGTGTGCTGTTTAGGAACGGCAACAAACCCTCTCTCGGCTGTTTGCTGCCTTCCCTTCAAGTATTTACGGATTTTCCAGAAGTGATCCACCCTAAGGCGTGAATCGTGCCGCGTTGCGTTTGCTGGCGTAGCTGCATGCATTGCGAAATTGTCTATCATAAAAACGGCAACGGCAACGGCAACGGCTCACTCGAGCACAAACATAGTTGCCATAGCGACGGAGCGGAGTGCGTGTTAAAATGTGCATAACTTTGCGAGCGCTTGCAAGTGGCATAAATTTGTAACGCGTTGAATAAATGGTACGAGAGTTCTTGTGAATGCGAACAGGATGGCGCAGCTCGTGTAGTCATTTGCATACGAATATGTAGACCAAGCGTAGATATGTATGTAGGTATGTATGTATGCATCGCTCAGCTTGTAAAGCAATGCGAGCGTCATTCGCTGGCGGATGTCTGCCCGAATGGAGGAAAGTTTGCAGCTGTATAAATTAAATTTTGTAGCACACTTCGTTACAAGCCGAACCCAGCCAAACACGCTAAGAAAAAACCAGCGTATGACAACGCAAGAGAAAATAATTCTCGTAAAAAATGTTGCCACAGTTACAAAATTGTACGACTCAAATGGCGAACAAAAGCTTGACATCCGTTCTGACCAAACCGTCACTCTTTAGAAGGCCTCGGTGCGGAAATCGAATTTCAACTAAACTTTGCAACGGTGCCCTCAATTAAAATGTCTCTATTCACTGCTTTGACTTATCTTCATGTTTGCAAAAACAACATTTTTAAATGTTGAAATAAATTGGATAATTCAATAACGAAAAGACATCAGCGTTGAAAAAATATGAAATGGTGCGTTTGGTCGGAGGGCACAATCGAGAGAAACGTAAATTGTTTAATGTTTTTTACATAAAGCTGCTAAAAACACTTTCTCCGTAAATATAAAGGCATTCAAGCCAACCCACCTGCCCGGAGTCCGTATCGAACTTGTAGAGCCGCATGGCCGGGTTATTTGAACCCACATTGAGTTTCCTTGGCGTTACAGACGGTGAAATCATCATCCATGAAACCGGTTTGCCTGCAATGAAAAAACAAAAAAAAAACACAAATTGACAGTTAAGTATTCACAAAACCGGTTATACATCGGTTATAAATCGGTTATAGTATTTAAAAAAAGTTATATATAAGTTATTATATTGGCCGTTAAGTATTCACGAAATCGGTTATAAAACGGTTATACCGGTTATAAATCGGTTATACGATTAAAGTTATAAATCGGTTACAGTATTAAAATAAGTTATATATCAGTTATAAATCGGTTATAGTATTAAAATCGAAGTAAGTCTACGCATCCAAGCCCTGGCAAATGTTGGCTCATATAAATGATGAAGATGATTTTTTTCGCATACCTCTCGCTTCATTGAGCAAAATGACGAAAACACACTAGTGTGCAAAGATGTAATTAAATAAATTTCTATATATGTCTTCTTTTTACATCAATATGTGTGTAAGCATATATGCGATAGCTACCCAGCAGGAATATTTGTGGCACTGGTCCCTACTGAGCTCAATCCGCTTGAACGCCTAAACCTTTAGGCTACTATTAAATGGGCTATTTCACTCTCTCTCTCTCTCGCTCTCTTCCCATTCAGCAGTTGTTCTCTTTTTGGCCTTTAAAAATAAACACGAATTAGCCATAAATAACATTCAATAAGGGAAAACGTCAAAACTCCAGAAGCACCCGGCATGCCGAGGGGTCCTCATTTGCATTTACTCCCCCAAGCCTTAAGTGTGTAAGTATGTACTTTGGCAAATGAAAAATGAATTATGAATATGTTATTGCCGACATATGCACAAGGCACACGACACATACATACATACATGCTTATAACATTGCATGTGTGTGATGAGCGCGCAATGGCGGTGGTTGTGCGTTTGTTTTATGTCGACATTAAAGGGTTTTATGCACGTTTCATTGCGGAAACAATTAGCCAACGGATTTACGCTTCTCACTCGACAGTCGCGCACTTGTGAATGCAAATATGCGCGCTCACTGATACAGATACACGCCCATGGAGCATTGTGTGGCCACTCGAAATTATAAGAGCGTGTTCATTTTTCGGTTTCGAAGTGCGCGCCATTAACATAGCAGTATAGCAGTATCTGGTAAGAATGCCGTTCAAATTCATCATGCGCAAGCCCATTAAATTTAAATTAATATTGTATTAAATATTAAAGAGCAGCTTTCCCATCAAATTTGCTATATTTCGAATAAACTAAAGGAAAGCTCAAAAATTATTTGTATTTAGTTTCTACTAGAGTCAGGTAAAAGTCCTAGTAAGAAAGGTGTTTTCAAATGTGGTGTAGGAGCAACTTCCTGCTGGAAGAGACAAGTCCGAAACCTTGGTGCGGTAAGTCTGGTTTGCTATGCATATCCAAGCAAAGATTTCATGCTCAGCTGCATAATGCGTTTTAGGCAAAGTGCCTCAGGTATTTACTTATCATTTATTAAGACATAACTTGCTCAGCTCATATCGACATGTATGTTTGTGTGTCGAAGTAAGGATGTGCTAGGTGTTTTGCTTGTAGTCAGATAGCTTGCTGGCTGCGAAATGACAACTTCTTGACAACCACAAATATCAAGAATGTGTCTTTCAGGTCACTGCACTCGGCTATCAGCAGCTGTACGCTTGGTTTGAGTGAATTGAGGAATATCAGCATACATTTTATTACATATATTACCGTGATTACAGACAAGCACTGACGAGTTGGCGAGTAAACCACAGGCACATCCACATAGCCAGCGCAGATGGCACAGTGACAGAGTGAATTGTGCATTAATAAATGCATGCATATTCTAATTTGGCTAAACATAAATACATAATATTAAATTGCGCTGCTGTTTTTGCTCGCATGAGTGTGTGTGAATTTAAAGCGAAAAGGCACAAGCATTTATGTAAATATCACTCGTATGCAATATTCATGTGTCATATTCCGGAGGTCTTCGCCGCAAAGTGGTCGTCGCCCAGTGACAGAGCGCCCAGCAACGACAGCGGTAGGAAGGAAGACGGAAGCAGCAGAAATAAAATCATTTCAAACTTTGTTGGCTGGCACTTAGCCTGCTGACACTTGGTTGCTCATACGCCCCGCGCTCCCAGGCACATGCCATTCAATGCTGCTGAGGTAACTTTTAAACACCGCCCTCATGATATTTACAATTTAAACTTATTAAGTAATAAATTCTGTTTGTTATTTATTTGTGGTAATTGAAAAACTTTAAACTTTACAGTAAATTGTTTTCGAGCCTCCTCTCCGAGTGCCGAGTGTGGCTTACAAAGGCGACGGGCAAAAAACACTGTTCGTTTGATGAGAACAAACTGTCAACAGTTACTAGCACTTGTTGTTGTTTGCCATCGAAGTCTATATGAAACTTTTTGCTTCCTTCTTTTGGCGCTCTGTTTCTGTTAATATTTTTTTTTTTATTGCTTTTGCTCTGCTCTTGTCGCCTTCTATGGCTGGCCATCCATCATGCGCCTTGTAAGCGCCAGCAAATATGACAAACCGAATTTGCCGCCAAGTCTTTGTAGACTTATGGTTGTTATAAAACACATGTATATTATATATTTATATGCCTACTCATTTATATAGTAAATAAACATAAACTACATTTCGCATATAATTCGCTGGGAGATTTAAGACCCATTTTGCATTAGGGCAGATGCTATATTTGTATTTTTGTTGTATTTGTTTGTAACGGTAAATGTTGTTTATCTTCATTTAGTCTATTTTTTGCAAGACAAGCACTTTACCGCCCGTACTCCTAGTGCTCCATTCGGACAAGTTGACTTCGAGCTCCCTGAGCTACTTTCATATAATACTATTTGACGTTGTTATCCCACAGCGTGCTGCTATGCTCTGATGTGTATGCATTCTCATGCCAAAAGCCCGGAGCTGTATATGGCTTGAGGCTACCGAAGGCCATTTATTATGCTCGGTCACAAATTCACACGCTTCAAACACAAATAGTTGTATGATATTGTTATTTAAATTCCCATAATTATTTGCAATACTAAATATTTGCGCATGTTTGTGTACAAATAGGAGTGTGTTTGTGTGTGTGTGTAAAGTCAGACAAACACATGTCATTGTTACTTAAATAACCAGTTTAATTAACATAAATGCTCAGTATGGCGTTTGTAGAGTTGTTGTTGTTGTAGCGTTGTTGTAATGTTTGAGCATTTGCGGCAAACCGAAGTTAACAACAACTGCTTATGTAGTAGTGCGCATGCTTTTCAATAATTGATTGAGGAAATGCCAACAAAACCGAATGCAAATATGCCAGATAACAGATAGCAGGAAGAATGGAAGGACAAAACATGAAATCATGTGAATTTCTATACAATTTTGTATTGACTGGCGATCAGTGATGCTCAGTTAGACGCCATCGTCTATTCAGGTTCAGTATTCAAGTGCTTGTTACTGGAGAATTCAATAACTTTTCACCTTTGTTCGCAAGCCTCACAAAAAGTATTAATTAATAGATGTTCATTTAGTGTAAAGGTCAAGGAACCCAACAACGGCAGGGTACAGTGTGGGCGGATGTGGCCGCAAGCAAGGACCAGCTATAGGCGGCGCACACATTTCGCTTGCGTTTTATGAAGTTTTAAGGCATTTTAGTTAAAGTAATTATCTGTGTGTGTCCTCTCTGCGCCGTGTGTTGCTTAAAGTTTGATACAAGCAATTTAGTAAAATGAAACACTGTCTTTTGGTTTTGGTGCACATACATCTGCTGCGGTCTGCGCCTAAATGACAATTATGTGCTTTGAGTTAAGAGCTCTTGGATTTCCAGTCACTAAAAATCGCTGTGTGCGTTTGAAATTGCCGCCAATGCTAAGCACCGTGCAGTTTAGCTTTAGCAAACCATCATTTGTTAGTGCGCTCGTGTGGATATCAATCCAGGAGCTACTGCAGTCAGCGTGCTGTTGACAGACTCCAATGGAAATCTGTGAACTCGTTCTTCTTCTTCTTCGACTTAGTCTTCTTCTTCTTAATTAATGTCTTATATCGGCTAAAAATTATATACTCTTTGATGAAATTTAATTTGATGCTTCAAATATTGTCGCATCCGTTGGAAAAGCACAGCAGCTGTTGCGTGGCTTGTCTTGTCTGCTTTAACCTTTTCAACTGGAGTGGACTTGTTGCAGTTAAGTTAATTCAAAATGACGAAATTCAGTTCGCATGCAACATAACAATCGAACTGCGGCAATGCAATTGTCTGCGCAAAGTTAGCAATTGATTTGGTCCAAACTGGCCTTCCGTACAACACAACAACAATGCCCGGCAATTCGTACTTTGTAGCCGTAGAAATTAATGCTCGTGCAACGGCGCGGTCGGAGGAGCGGCAGATATGCTTGCATTAATGAACAGCTGGTAATTTTCTGTACTTTGTGTGTACTTCCTTTCGATATTGCTTATCTACGAAACTAATTTATTGCAAATAATAGATGTTATTGTAATTTTGTTGTAATAGTATTCCGTTAAATGCAAATATGCAACATCTGCTTACTTATAATTATCCGCTAGAGCTATGTTATACACAAATGCGGAAATATAAGTATGTATAGCTCACCATTGTCGTCGTATATGATGCGAAAAGAGTCCGAATGCAGATGGCCGAAAAACTGTCCCTGTATGATTGAGGAATACTTTCGCACCAATTCCAGGTAGCGTTTATTATTCGTTTCGGTGAATGTGGTGCGGCCATTTTGCTGCAAACCGATGTGTCGTTCATCCGATCCGGGTGGAATGTGTCCCACAATGTAAACCTGTAGAAACAGAAAGTGACATAAGTTGTAAACAAATTTTACTTTTTAAGTATGTAAAGTCAACAAAGTTTTAAGAGATGCATTTCCTTTTCAAAGTTATGTTTGAAAATATTATATATGTATATATTAATTCTAAGCTGGATCCTAAATGCAGTATCTACCGACAGTATCAATCGTAAACGTCAGCAGAAAAGTTCACTTTTAAAAAATAATAAATACTCTAGCAGGTTATAGCTTCCTGAAGCTCCTTTCAATGTTTTAATGTTTCGAAAAAATATAGTTAGGAATGTGACTCCAAAAGCTACATCATAACGTGCCTTGAAATACGCGGCAATAGTCGTGATTATAATAGATAGATGGTAAAGATTGAGGTTTTTCACCGCAACGTACGGTCCAGGTCCAAGCATTGTTGAACAATCCATAATCAGGTGTTCTGGAGTTTCCTGTTCCATGTCGCAAAACCGGTAGTTTGCGCAAGAGACTATGTCCATGTTCGACAAGTGCTTCCTAAGCCTACATTGCCATGTAAAAAGCGCAACAAGGACGCTGAATTTGTCTCGTGGGAAATTGATTATTTCCTTAAACCTTTCGATATGCAGCTCCTGAAGTTTGCTGTCATTCAGCACATTGCCGGCTACACTTTTATGCCCCGGCACTCAGATCAGGTGTACCCGGTTGCACACTGATAGGCAGTTCAGCCGTTCTATGTCACTTTTAGTGCTTGACTGCCGCTAAATAAGGCGTTAAGCTGGTTGCGATAGATCCGGTGGAGACTGAGTTCTGCGCACTGACTTATAGCAAAGACTGCTATTTGAAAATGATCGGAAGGCATTTCATTGGTACAGATAGTTTGGTATGCGGTCCACAATGCCTGCTTCAATGTTTTCCTGTGTTTTTGAGCGGTCGGTGTATCACTGTATAGTGCTGCCTCTCATCAGTTTATCGAGCGCGGAGTCAATCCTCTCCACCTTGCTGTCAAGAGAAACTCTTTGTAAAGTAAATCCTCTTTGTAACATCATCCCTTGGAAGAAAGGCCAGTGGATGGTTTTCTCCTAGGGCTTTCATTTGTTGAGTCGACATTAACTTCCCTTTGCCGAAACCGTCTACTGCCATTAGCAATATCGTATGTTTCGCTTCCTGTTTAATCACTAGAGGCAACGGGGTGAGCTGCAGTATGGCTTCAAGTGCTGCAGTGGAGCATTGTCCCTGAAGCGCAGACAAAGGCGAGCCTTTGCAGCATGATAGTTGCAGGCCTAACGAAGACTGCGTTGCCTTCGGTGCCTAAGCAATCGCTCCATAATAATATTACTCACGATCATGATATTCAGCTAGCTTACGATACTTATACAGCATTAGATCCACATGCCTACTCCTCCGTAAGGTTGAGTCTAAAGTGAGTCCAAGGAATTTTGCCTCTGTAGACACCTCAAACTCCTTGCATCCAGTGTTAGGGGCCTCAAGCCTGGAAGGAACCCTTTTACTAAGCGAATAAAAGGGACCACGATGGTTTTAGCCAGGTTGATATTTTGCTCTCCCGTATTGCACCATCCCTTTGCTTGTCTTAAGCTCGGTAGTACTCCATGGCCACCAGCATTCTCAAGGCTTGGATTGGGACAAATATTCGTACCAGTGGTGAAGGCGTTATAATTTCTATGCTCTTGCTCTGTCATTTCTATTAGCCTCCTTCATTGACTTACTCGCAAGTTCTATTTTCGAAGCGGTAGTGCTAGAAGAAGCTCTTTAATTGGAAATTTCAAGTAACTATAATAAAAAATAAATACCCAGTCACTTTAAATTCAACCACAATGCAAATAAGTGGGCCAACAAATAAGTTTATTAGCATTATAGGTATTACAGGTGCTAGTAAAATGCATAAGTACCGACTTAATACCCATTTAGGGCTCCTTTAATACATAAGTAAATACCACACACACGGCTCGCACGGCCTGAATACAAACAGTTCAGCAGTCGTGTATGACAAAGCTTAAATACATAGACCTAATTAACAGGCTAAGCTTCGTGTCACGCGCTGAAACATTTTAATTTCAAAATTAAACATCAACAGTTTAAAAGAACATGCAAATCTGCCGCCGAATGCCGGCTAACTACCGTTTCAGGCTTTCAAGTCAACTTGTTTAAATATAAATGGTTGTACGAGTACATGCACGAGAGTATTTAAGATTAAATCAGCTCTGGCGATGGGGCACAGACAGAAGACAAAGGAAGTCACGGAGTTGTATAAGTCGGTATGTATATACCATGCACAGAGGCCTGTGTTAGATCTCATGTTCATGGACACACGCGCACACATACCTAATGTCGAAACGGCGTTGCCCTTACTCTCTTGTACCCCGGCTCGTTGCGGTTGAGGCCGACTTAGAAGTTAAACTATTAATTTGCACACAAACGACGAGCAGAATTGTAGTCGAATTAAGTAAAAGGCAAGCGTTCAATGTTCTGCTTTAAGTGCTCTGGCTTTGGAACAATAAAAACTACAAAAGCAACCGAGTGTAGCCTTAAGAGGCAGCGGCAGGCGAATAAACGGCACTTGGCCTTGTAGGAATAATTTACTACACCGCCGTTTAGAGCTTTAACAGGGCATGACGAGCAAAGAGCACTTGCTTTTAAATGTCAGCTGTGCTAAAAAGTACTAAAAGGTCCAGAGACACGTGCTTTGTGTATAAATAGATTTTATGTGGAATTTTAGTGAATGTTTTATCTTAGTAGACATTTTCCTCTTTCATACAAATCCTTTAAAATTAAATGGACTTTTTCGGTTTTAGAGAAGGGTTCAAGACTGGATCATACTCTGGTAGAAGCCCTGAGGGGATCTAGTGACTGATGTCTAGAGCATATTGGAATTATGGAGGGACCACTTCTTCAGCCTGCTAAATGGCGGTGAAAGCATAACACTTGAAGATGGAGGACTTGTTTCCCCAATTGATGACGATGGAGCAGTAATTCCACTGTCCAAACATGAAAAAGCTCGCATGAAGAACAACAAAGTTGCGGGAGCCGATGGATTGCCAACAGAGCTACTCAGATAGAATATGGTCGAATGAAAGCATGCCCGATGATTGGAATTTAAGTGCGGTCTGGCCAATCCACAAATTTGCGTTAACTATCGTGGGATAAGGCTCCTAAACATCGCATATAAGGTTCTCTCGATCATATTGTGTGAAAGAATAAATAGAATATCGGCACACACTATCCCTTTACCGATTTCAAAGTAGCTTTTGACTACACGAAAAGAAGTCTGAATTTGATATCCCCGCAAAACTAATACGGCTGTGTGAACTGATGTTGGGCAATACCAAAAGATCTGTCAGGATACGGTTGGACCTCTCCGAGGTCTTGACACAAAACAAGGTTTGGGACAAGGCGACTTCTGATAAGTCGACGTTACAAGTTTTCGAGAGAAAGGTTCTGCGGAAGATTTTATTTATAATTTTTTGCACTGGCAACGTGAATATCGCATGCGATGAAATGATAAGCTGTACGAGATATACGACGACATGGAAATAGTTCAGCGAATTAAGAGACAGCAGTTAGGCTGAGTAGATCATATCGTCCGAATGGATATAAACACTGCAGCTCTGAGAGTATTTGACGCAGTACCCGCCCGGGAAAGCAGAGGAAGAAGAAGTCATCTACTCCGTTGGAAAGACCAGGTGGAGGAGTTGAATAGCATGTCCTGTGAAACTGTTAATTAAAATAGAGTAATAGCGACAGATTTTTAAAAGTTAATATATTTGGTTCATATATTATATAATGAAATGCAAATGAGTACCTTCTCGGAATCTTCGATGAAAAATTATACCTATTTAGAGAAACTCAAAATAATCGAGAGAGTTTTGCAGCTACTGTTTCTGTATTAGTCTTTACAACAAAACGCCGCACGTGAGGTCCAAATGCAATAGACAATTTTTTCTGCGCATTCTGTGCCAGCCGGAGTCGCAATAAATAAGCAGCTGTGTATGCCGGCTTAAATTGTTGTCCTTTGGAAGCTTATTAAGCTAGTTTGTGCCCAACCGCGGCGCCACTTGTTTAACTAGGCCCATTACTCGCGTTCCCTTGCGGACAGCATTCCCTTTATCCTTTATTTATTTATGTGCGCACACTTGGCTCTCCTTGCAGCCACACTACTGCAGGGACTCTTTAATCTATTTATGTAAATTTGATCCCATTTCGGTTCACATTCGCCGGGGTTTGCTCTCAACAGCGAACTTTTCTCAAAAGCCACTTTACCTTTGTTGTATACATTTATATAAATACAGTTATACAAATACACAAACACCTTTTTTTGAGCTTTTTAGCAGACAGTGTTCTTATTCTTCGCCGACCGGGCTTCAGTATGCAGGGGGTATGCAGGAGTATGTGTAAATGTGGCTTGTCTTGCCACACTGGAATTAAGTCAACCGCCAAAATGGGAGAAGCGAGTAAATTATTTAAATGAGATAAACATAAACTGCAAATCTACTTATGCCGTTCTTCTACAGGCGATCTGAGGGCATCGGGAAGGGTTGGCTAAAATGTGCTTGTTTGACCGCTGGAAAAATTGCTCTTAATCACTGCCACACTTGGCTGCAGTTAATAAAAAGTTCTGGGCAAATTTAACTATTGCCGACATGCCCAGCAGCTTTTGTATTTTATGTGGATTTGTATCGCTTCTTTATACAAATTCTTACTTCATACAAGTAAATACGTGTAAGATTAGCTCCCTTTCGGTTGTAACTGTTCGTGCTTTTGTTTTCTTTGTGCGGTTGAAGCGTGGTGTTAAGCTTTTTCATTGCTCGGGAGTGCATTCCAAGGCGTAGAACGATTTCTTTTGTAGATTGGGTGATTGGGGTCTCAATGTATCAATGTGTTTTTTGTTTGCGATTGTAGCCACAACAGCAAAATCGGTTAGGTGCCGTTAATTGCTTTATCAGACCTTTAATATACTTTATTACAAAATAGTATGATTTCGAAAAGATTAGAGGTTGAAGTTCAGCGTTTAT